GCATTTTCAAGAATGTTATTGTAACCGGAAAGACCAGACCAGTGGTTCTCAACCTTTTTAGACTTGAGGCACCCCTGAGAAAATGCCAGGTCTTAGCTTTCACTCGTTTTTTGACCACAGAAAAATAATAGAGCAAGTCTTCTGTTGAAAAGAAATCAAAAAGACCACAACAAGCCTGAAGGTTTTTAAAACTATGAATTCCTGTTTGAAACCTCTGGGTGTATCTTGTGAATCATGTTTGTACATCTAACAGTGCTAACACTGTCACCCCACGGCACTATTAAAAGACTCTTGAAGCATCCTAGGGTGGTGTGGCACCATAGCTCCTTGTTCTGCCATCTGCAACCACAGAGAACAGTTTAGCTCCTTTGTCAGGGTTCAAATTACACTATGACTCTTGGCGGGGGGTCTGTGGTAGTGGCAGCTAGAAACTCTTGTCTCTTTTGGGGGGGCTCAGGCCCTCCAACCCCCGCTTATTTCAAATCCTGCTCTTTGTAACCATCCTTCGGGTAATTAATAGCAACCTTCAACTACCTGAAGGGTCGTTCTGGAGAGGATGGAGCTGGACTGTTCTCAGTGGTAGCAGATGACAGAAGAAGCAGCAATGATTTCCAGTTGCAGTAATGGAAGTTTAGGTTAGATATTAAGAGAAACTTTCTCATGAAGATGGTAGTAAAGCTCTGTAACAGACTACTCAGACAAGTTATAGAACCTCCAACTTTGGAGATTTTTAAGACCTGGGTAGACAAAGCCTTGGCTAGGATGATCTAGTTGAGGATGGTCTGCTTTAGGCAGGGGGTTGGACTAGATGACCTGCTGAGGTCCCTTACAGCCCTATTTTTCTATGATTCTATGAATCACTGGGCTAGACACTTAGATGAAAATGGAGGTTAGACCTGAGGAGAAGCAGGCACTCAGTTTAAATAACAAGTATAAAGCCAGCTGAGGCTCTGCTCTGAGATTTCTAGGTTCTGGAAATCATAAGGGCCCCCAGTTCCAAACCGTCTCTAATCCACTTTTGGATTGATGGCATGCTACTATTCTGGTGATGTAACCAGAGGCCTTTGTGTATGTAACCCGAGGCCAGGAGTGGTAGCCTGTCTATTGTGTACTATATGTTCTTTCCCATACCTAATGTGCTGTGAAGCAATTATTCAATGTGAAGTAAAATTCACATTTTTGAGGTACAGTCAAGAGAGTGTCAGGTGCCCTTGTGGAAACAATACGAAAACTGTTAATTGAGGAATGCCCCAGCTTCCAACTAGTTTCTGAAGGTTTGCTTTTCGTATGCCCAAGGCCAGGATCAAAGGGGATTGTCAAAATGACACCTGGGCCTAGAAAAAGAAAAATGGGTGAATGAGTTATTGTGGTAAACTCAGGGAGCATCTCTGAGCCTTGACAGGAATTCAAAGAGGTAAAGAGAAAGAGGGGCACAGAAACTGCAGAAAGCAGGCTGTCTCTTCCAATCCAGAGATAACAAGGTAACTGGAGGGAACTCAGAAGCTTTCAGGAAAAATGACAGTAGGGGTAAGGCTCAGCCTGTGCGCTGTGTACTCTGGAATGAATTTGTTTGGAAGAAACTGTTTTTGAATTACTTTAATCACAGGTACCCCCAAAAACAGGGTTTCCAGATGCCAAGCAGAGTTGAGCCTGACAATTGGTATGTGTGTATATACCAGCTCATATATAGATATACACATACCATACCATAGGGTCATATATATTATATATACCTGAGCTCATCTTTGTCATTATTTAATTTATTTTTGGTTCCCCTAAACAGCTTCTTTTGATTTAAATCCTTCCAGTCTTACAAGATAATACCAACCAGATAAACCAAGTCCTGAGATCCTGTCCAGCAGTGGTAGGACCACTTAGTTCTACCCAGAGAATCTCAACATCTGTCACTAAAGGGATGCACTCTGAAGGGACTAAAAGGGGTTGAATGTGCATGGCACATCTTTAACTGTTCATTTAAGGCAAATTTAAAGTCATATTCTGCTCCTGGCATTATTAGGACTGAGGCTCTAGCCCTGAATTTACAGAGTATCATGACCACCAACAGACCCATATTCAAATAATATCACACCTTCAATAGATCTCAAACTATGAATAATAGACAGATGCAAAATATGCAGGTATTTGTGCATGTGTAATTAAATGATGTGACTTCATCACCTAATAAGAAGATAATTACTGTTATTGTGTTCAAACTGCAAAGCCATTGGGAGCTAGAACTCTTGAAGTGTATGAAGCAGGAAGGCCGATCCTATAGGTGGGAGGAGGTAGGATCCAGAGTTAGTTGGCTGCTCAAACAAAAGCGTGTTTTTTTGTCTGCTTTCTATGTAACTGAGCCACAGACTAGCCAAGGTGTTTGATCTTGAGAAAGCTTCTTCCATAACGCCAGCAGGCTGTAGATGGCAACTGTTATATTCCTTCAGACTTCAGTGCCTATAAATGGGCCACTGAAAGCCTCAGGTATTTTACATAAACTGCAATGGCAGGGTCCTGAGATAAACAGATTGTCCAGGTGGCCACACAACATCAGCAAAGGCTGATTTCAGATGCGGATTGGGATACACAAGTCATTTTTTTTCAAAGAACTGTGCCTTCTTGCACTAGGCCTGAGCCCAGAATTACTGGGGACAGCAGATTGTGCAGTGAGTTCTACAAAATGTGAGTTCGGAGCCATCCTCGTCTCCATCAGCCCAACTGTTCCACTTTGAAACAAACTACTCAACTTCGTACCGCCCGAGGTTCTTAAGAAGGACGTATACAGCAAGATCTTTAACTGAGTAAGGTGCCTCCTTAGGAAGGGACTAGGTAACCAAGGTGGATCGTCAGTCATGTTCACCCCAAAACATTAATTATTAACCAGATTATAAACGTCATTGCTGAACAACAAGATTTCTACACCTCACTGCCTGCCATCTGACACCAACAGGGAAGAAATCCTGCTTGATCTGCACAACCGAGAGCACCCCACAAAGACAATCTCATGGACCCAGAGGACAGATTCTCAGCTTCAGCTTGCTGTGTGCAAAACTGAGGTGTATTTCCTATTCATACGGGGACTCTTTGCCATCTTTAACTTTCCCTAAGCCTGATGAAGGGTCACGTGGTGTGAGCGCGGCGGCAAGGGCGGGGAGGGGAATGAAGCGCCTCGCTGCACTCCGCCAGGCGAACACTCCACCTCCCGCTGCGCATGCGCCCGCGAGACCCCTCCCCCCCAGCAGCGAAGGCGCAGGCGCAGGAGGG